GAACAATGACAAGCTCTTTCAACAAAGCTAAGCAGTCAGTACGAGTTTTAACACTGCGTTCTTTCATTTGAGCATGTATAGCTTTGACAATTGCGGGAACCTTTACACATTTTTTTTAAACATTAATTATTTTTTATATATGTTTATTAGTTGGTCATTATTTAACTTACTTGTGATTGAAGAAGGTACATAGCTGAATCCTCATCGGCCATATCAGCAGTCGTATTACTACTAGTCAACTTTGTTTGTTTCAACAATGTCATATACACATGTAATATGTCACTTTTAACAGTTTCCTCTCTTTCTAAAATATTAATGAATATATTAATGATTAAAATACATGCAACTATTAATAAAATGATTACCTTTAAATCTCTGTATCAATGATTTTGAAACATTTCTATACATATCTGCAATCAAATCTTTTCTGGTTATAATTATACCTTCCAAACATTTAGCAGCTGCCCTTCGAACTTTCCAACTCATATCATCATCATCTGAATAATCATCTTCAATATCTTCATCTTCCAAATCTTCACCATCAGTAGTATCCATACAATTTTCATCACCATTTTCACCATTGTCATCATAATTATAATTTGGATCATACGCTAAATACTCCAAGCACAGCTTGATTATATCATTAGTATAAGCCGCGGTTTCACTAGGACAACGGTTAACAAAAGCATCAAAAGCTTGTAAACAGTATTCACGCAATTCATCATCTTCTGCAGAATTCTCCACTAATGGTCCTTGTATTAATGGGACAACACGATCAACATGAACTCCAAAACGATGGCCAGCTTGACGACTACAATGTTAGTAAATAAACAATATAAGTTTAATAGTGGAAATAAAAATTATGTTCTAAGTTTTACCATATAGCTGCTATACACTGTATCGATGTTTTAGATCTGGCTGCTGGCTGTTGTATTGATAAATCATTAACCAAATAATCAATGAGTTTAATATATAGTAGTTGATTACATGACAAAACTAAATGACCAAGTGCAACAATAGTTCTGCAATAATAAAATACAAATAATGATTAATTATAAAAATATTAATATTACTTAACAAGTATTTAATATCTTAAATTACATAATTAAATCTAAATATAACATTTTCTTAATTTTTGAGTAAGTGGCTAATCTTACAAGCTGTACATCATAAATACACACACACATGTAATTGTAGTACTAACATTCTTAGTTGTACTTTTCTTATGGTACTCATTTTGTACTCATTAGGTATCTTAAAATGTTAAACAAATTTTGTTAAGTACTTAAGTATTAAAAAAGTCTACTCCAATAGAATGTCTATTGTCTACCTGTGATTAAAGCAATGTAAGGCAATCCTATTTGCAATAATATAATTTACTTATAAGAAAATAGAGTAAATGTGATTTGAATACTATGTCCTCAATACGTAATAATATCAAAACTGGTCCTAATCAGACTATCACAAAAGCTTACTGAGAAACTTGTCCAAAAATTTTTTATGATAATACGAAATGGAAAATTAGTAATTCTAACAAACTAAGGTTAGTTTAAAATTTAATGGTGCAAGTCCTTGACTTTAATTTCTCCAGAAGGGATTGGGTTTTACTAAATATACTCATCAGTATATGACATACTATGGTTTACGGATGAAGACTGAAACTTTCACAAGAATGTGACTGTCCTAATTGCTACCCACAAAAACTACATAGAGCAGTGGTTCCCAAACTTTTACGACCAGGGCACCCTTAAAAAATTGTTTGTATTTCGCGGAACCCTAATGTCTAATCCAACTCAACTACAATTTTTCTAAATAAAAAAAGGAAAATCAATTCTCTAAACTCTCAAGTCTAAATGATATTTTAATGATACTGTTAATGACTTTTCATTATTAAACTTAGTTAAAAAAAATTTTCAATCAATAAAATTTTAAATAACAAACATAATTAATAAACATAATTTTCTCAATAATCTCATACATCTGGCGGAACCCTTGACATAGTCCCACGGAACCCTAAGGTTCCGCGGAACACACTTTGGGAAACGCTGACATGGAGCCGCGATGGACTCGGTACAATGGATGAGATTCTTGGAATTATACACTTTATTATATAAATATATCACTTATATAACATATATAATATATATTTGAGATAAGCCACCAATACAGACATTAATGTATTTTTTAACATTTGTTACTATACATTTATTTTATTTTATTTAAATTAAAAAATGTAAGTACTAAATAATTGAGTTATTGATCAGGAACATTAAAAATGTTTTTTGCTTGGAATAGAGATCTGTATCAAATACTTTTATCTATTTATTAAAATGTTGCATCAAATAACTTATTTTAAAATTTTAATATTGTCAGTACATGACTCATTGTATAAGGTGCAGTATACTGTACTAATAACCCATTTATCTCTCCTCTTCTATAATATAATAATAATATTATATTAATTAATACAATTATTGATTTCAGATTATATACAGGGTGTTCTGTGAGGATAATCCATAAGCTATAGAGAGGGATAAGCCATGCGGACAAAAAACTGGATTTTGCCGCTTTACCTATAAACTAAAAAAATTATTAAAAATCATGAAATTAATGAAGATAAAATGTTGAAAGGTTAACATTTTCAGAAAAATAGACAACAAAATGGACATCTTCAATTGTTTCAAAAATAAAAAAAAGTTAATTGAATTAAAAAATAAAATATGTGTAGTCCATGTCTCTGTGAGTCTCATAAAAAAACAGATTTATGATATATTTATTATCTCAGGAGTTATTGCAATGGGTAAATCCTCACGGACACCCTGTAAATATTATTTACTGCACTTCAATTTCTTGCTTAACTATAATAATTACATTTATATGGTATGATGTTAGGAAATGCAATACCATCCGGGTTTATGCAATCATGATTGAATTTTTCTTCACAATTGGTAGGTAGATAAATTATCATGATAACAGATTAATGAAATTATTTATTTCTTATAATTAGAGCTAATATTTATATGCATTTTCATATTTTTATTGGATGGTCAAAAAAATAACTAGTTTATACCAAAATTTATTTCATAACCTATGAAGCCCGTATACAAAATGTTATGTTGAATATGTTTGCATTTCAAGGGTTAAATCTTCATGGTTTTTACTTGCGTTTTATATTTTTAACATAAATTAGTTTTTGTATTTATGACAAAATATACTCAACACAGGCCAAATACCTAGTATTTTATAATGAGAGGAAAAAGATTTTTGGAGTTCAAGGGGAGGATTGATTTTTTTCAATGCTATCAAGTGCTTATAATGAAATTATTCCTTGAGTGTTTATTTTGATGATTTTAAGTATCATAAATGATGTCTTAAGTAAGGAACCCAGATTATAATACATTTTAAGAAACATCTATTAAAATACGTTCCTTTGAGAAAATCTTAACAACATATAAAAATGTCTAAATCTGTTTCTGATTGAACAATAATTACTTTTCTAATTATTAATATAAATGATTTCCATTACATTCCAAATTTATTCAAAATTTAATTCAGACGTATTAAGTGATTCATGTTGTTACCTTTTTCTTACTGCTTGGCGTGAAGAGTTAAGTTGAGGCAATAATGATTTTAGTATACCACTATGGAAATCTAGTAACAATGATCCAAATCTTGATAGTAAATCAGCAAGTATGTCTAAAGCCTCCAACTGTACAGATACATCTTGCTGTAAAAGAGATTACTTGATAAATTTTATATCCCACGATTATCTTTCAAACTTACCTTTTCAATAGCACTAGTCAATTTTCCAGTGATTCTCCGGCACACATTTGCAGCTAATGCAGTATTAGTGATAGGTAGCTCACTAATAACAGTCTTTAATCCAATACTGCAAATGTCTCTCAATTGTTCATTTTCAGATATCATATTTGTACAAAGTGCATCAACAATAGTTTCCACTTGGTTCTCTTTTACTTTATTAACAAGTGGACCCAAACTAAAATTAAAAAGATTAAGATTCAACGATATACCTAATATCACTCATTCTAAAAAACTCAGAATTAAAATTATTTATATAATAATATATTAAGTTTTAATTTAACCAACCAAATTTCAGTATCTATATTATTATATTTATAATTTAAATTTAGTATTAATGTTTCCAAAATAGGTAGTTTGTATAAATGAAAAATGAATAGAATATACATGTGCACTTAACAGTCAACAGTTAGTACTTACCATTTAACAGCAAGATTTTGAACTTCACCATTTTTATCTTCCAGCAATCTAAGCAACATTCTCACTACTTTGCGTTCGGAATCATCGTCTAGTTTAATGCTGTCTTTCTGCAACTCGGACATCAGATCGTTGGTAGCCATAAACCGGAAGTCTTTGTCACTCGAAGTCATCTAAAACAACCAAACGTACACAGTTCAGCATTTGCCGGTAGGTAACTGGCAACTGGTAAGGGCTGGTGTAAAGATATTTAAACGATTTCACTTACTTTTTCGAGCAAATGAGCGATTTGGTACGACACGTTAGCCATGATTTTGTAGTCGATCGTTACGCCAATAAAACCGACAAGACAAGATGATCACTCGGCGAGTTACTAATCGCATATGAATACAAGTTAAAATTAAAATTCCATCGCACGAAAATTGTGCATTTGTATCGTAATTTGGAGTTAGGACTTCACGACAACGGACAAAATGTAAATCGAATACTGAATAGTGTAACCAGTCTCAAAAAAAAAACACGGCGGATGCGGCAAGTGAAAAATAAAAATTAACTTTTTTGTGTTGTATGAAAACTGATTACGATTTTATAATCTCCCAGAGCCACGGTTAAAGGACCGCGGTAGTGGGAAGCAGATTGTCTGCAGCAAGCAACTACGCCGTGAGCACGAAGATGGAAGATAAAAATGAATGATAGAATGTAAGATGTAACGAACTGTACATGAAAATATGTCTTGCTGTGTCGACTGATTCGTATTCTGATTGGACGTTAATTTTTTTGTGCCGTGTACTAACCAGGCTCTAACCACATTACACCTCGATTTTGGTACTTCTTTACCTCCAATAGCGAAGTAGTGGTAGTTGGTAGTTGTAGCGTGCCGTGTTGTTGGTGCGTCGTATCGTGATTGCGTGATTGCGAAAAGTGAAACACTGAACCTGGAGCGTCATGTCGGTTTATTATTATTATTATTATTATAAATGTTGAATTGTTATTTGTTAACAAAATAACAAAATATAAGCATAGCACTTTTCTAATGTCTACTGTCTTGTCTACCTAATTCGAAATTCAAGTGAATTTTAATTCTGTTGGATATTTAATGTTAGTCTAGAATCATGGTCAAACTTACCACGGAATTGATCATGAATTCATACCAGTTCATAAATCCAGTGAAGGATAGAGAATTGGACTTGAGAGGTAAGCGATTAAGTACAATGTGACTAAAAGTCATCACTTTTCAACAATTCTTGTGTAATATTTTACAATATATTAAGTTAATAATGTGTATACCTATTTATATATTTCATTCAAATGTAAATCAACGAATACAAAATGTTATAGGTTATAAAATACCACTGATTGAAAACATGGGTGCAACACTTGATCAGTTTGATACTATTGACTTCTCAGACAATGATATCAGAAAAATTGATGGTTTTGCATACCTTAAAAGATTGAAAAACCTCATATTTAATAACAATGCTATTGTGTAAGTGTTTAAAGTTTAATAATAAATATTATTGAAAATAATAACTAGGCACTTTTTTAAATATCAAAGTATTACATTTGGTATAATTGCAATTTTTGTAATTCCCATTAAAAACCAAATGTTTGTCTCCATAATAATTTGCTAAATTGGCTTGTGCTAGTTAAATTTTGATTTGATCCCCTTGAGATTTGAATGAAAACAATACGATCTCTGAACAGCACCAATTGTAATTTCATAAATACCTATCCTTGAAAGTGCAATACATTTCCTATCTATTTATAATAAATTCAGTTTTTAAGTACTTTACTACTAACTACTAACAAATTTTAAATGCTATTTCATATTGAAAATTATACTATTTACCAGCCTAGGTTAAAATGAATAAAAACTAGGTTGGTACTAAATTATTTTGTTATATAATAAAAATTCACAATTATGTAATCAATATTTTCTTAATTATCTTAAGTGATGATTTTACCAAACAATTAATTGAAGATTTGTCCATCATTTGAAATTTGAGTTGGTCTTGATTTTTGTTAACAAATAAAAAGTATAAATGTAATTAAACAATTGTTGCAGACGTATATCAGATAACTTAGAACAATGTCTACCAAATCTTGAATCTTTAATACTAACAGGTAATCAGATTCAAGAGCTTGGAGATTTAGATCCTCTTGCTTCACTTCCAAAGTTGAAAATGTTGAGTCTTTTACATAACCCAGTTGCATCAAAAGAGCATTATCGACTGTATGTGGCACATAAAATTCCTCAAGTTCGGATTTTGGACTTCAGAAAAGTTAAATTGAAGGTTTGTTGTTCTTCGCAAATAATTGCAATGTATAATATACATAACATTAATTATAGGAATATGAAGCAGCTAAAACATTATTTAAAGGCAAAGAAGGAAAAGAACTTAAAAAGAAGTTGGTTAAGAAATCTAATCAATTTGTTCCTGGAGAAGGTCTTGAAACCAGAAGAGCAAATGGTAAATAAGAGTTTAAAACATTATAATTTACTTACTTAAGGGGTATGAGTAGTTAGAAAAGTTTTGTGACAGTTAATATTTGTTTTCCAATTTTACAGTTTATTGAGAGTAAAAACTTCTATTTTAGAATTAAAGTTACTCTGTGCCTGTTTAAAAGTCAATCTTCAATAGTTTAATTATTAAACTCAATAATTCAAATTCATAAAGTAAAATATCATAGGTTTTAGAGCTTTATTGGACATTCAAAATAAAATTAGAAAATTAACTCATAAACAGACATATTACTCTTCTTCTCCTTAATTTGTATAATAAGTGTTCATACTATAATGTCACTCATAATACTATAATGTTGGAAATACGATAAATGTTTCGCCAAAATTCACATTTTTAAATAGTATGTAAAGTGCTGCGTGATTGACATGTACATGCACGTGTGTGAGCTCTTGTATTTATTTAATATATAATCACTCATACTAATGATCACTTACTACGCACACAAAATTGCTTATACTGAGCTTCTTAGAAACGGTCGATATTGATATCCCTAACAGTTACTGTTAGGTTCCAATTTTACAGTTGATTAATAATTTATATGCCGATAAGTATTTAATGCTGTTTAAGTTGAGGACCTTATACCCACACTACTGTGTTGTCTCCTTATTAACCTGTTATATACTTTTACATATGATTTATTAAGTAAGGAAGCTTTTAATATTAAAATTAAAAAAATTATATGTTGGCTCTAATAATAATTCCTTTAAATTTGATACTAAGTCAAACTATTTTAATATTAAAAATAACTATGTAAGTACATTATTCTGAATGTTAAATGTATCATGTTAAAAAATGTTAATATGACACAATTAATGCATGTACAATGTCCTCAAAAACATGAAGTTAATATTTTGTATTTTATTTAATTCTCGATAAAACAAAACTTGATTTTGGAAGTATGCAGTTAAACAATCTATAACTGATTAAGATTACAAAATCTGATCAAGTAATTTATAATTTTAATTTTTAAATATTTGCATAAGAATTAATATTTTGAAAATATATTTAAAATATTATGGTGAGCAAAAATATGTATGGTAATTTTGTTTATTATTAAAATAGGTTGTTCAATAATTCAACTTTACAGTACAACTTAAAAATAAAAGTTCTATTTTTGCATTAGTTCTTATGTTATGAATTTATTTGTTTTGTTTATTAAAAAGTTAATTTTAAGTAAATTACCCCTATATTTGTATAACATTTAGTAATGTATTTTGATCATTTGTCCGTTAAGTTCATAGATATATATGTATTTATCATTTTTTGTTAATATAGGTCATAGTCAAGAAGATATGTGGAGAATTCGAAAGGCAATATCTGAAGCATCGTCGTTAGAAGAAGTTGAACATCTTACCAAGTTGTTAGAAGCTGGGCAAATTCCTAACAAAGACCAAAATAAAAAGTCTGTTCCACTAAATGGAGGTAAATAAATAATATTATTCAATTAAACAATTGATTTTAGTTTTAATTTATTATATTTATAAATTATGATTATATATTATTATTAGAAGAAAATATTGAAGAATTTGATGATGATGATGATGATAATGAAGCACCAACACCAATGGAATAGATATGGTCCAGTCCTAATCCTTATACTGAAGACTTAATATTTTCAGTTATAATTTAAGAATATATTATATTTAATATTTAATCAGTTCATTAAAAGATAAGAACAGATACTATTGGTCTATTTTTTAATTTAGTAATACACTAATACCAAGGTTACCAGTAAAATACTATCATTTATTTTAATAAGTTTATATGTTGAGAAGCGTTATACATTAACTCTCATGAGTGTTGCCTTTTAAAACAACCAATATCGCTTATTTTACATGTTTGATAGTGTTTAGTGATTACAGTGGTTGTTTGTAAGTACAATTCGTCATCTGACATAACTTATCCAGGATACAATGACATTATCAACTACAACAAAACTAGACAGTTCAGTGTCTTGTATTATTTTAAAAAAATTCCATAACTGAAAATGGATAACAAATGTCTATTGCAGAGGTGGCAGCCACTAACCAACAGGAAAACCTTCACAAGCTGCTACAATAAGTGCAATGTAAGTAAACGCCATAAATTATAAATTTCATACAAATGTTATTTTATTGTCATCTTATTAACTGTTACAAAAAATATATGCAAACAATGTTTATTTTTAACATTCAATTCTTAAGAATTTTGTTTTCAGTTATTTTAGGAAAATAAAAAATTTTTATTTAATTAAAGAGTGAATAGTTATAACAATAACATAACCTACAGAGTAACACAAAATATGTATTGATTCAAACATAACTGTTATAAATAAACATAAATAACATAATAAAGGACGAAGTGGATAACGCGCACCGTCTCCAGTTCGAACCTTGGTCACGGGTGGCACTCCTCTCCAGGCAGTCACGGACTCACGGTGTCTGGAGAGAGTGGCCGCCATCCCCCATCTGGACATAGCAGAAACCTACGGGTCCCCTCTAGAAATTCTGCCAAAACAAACACGTGTTCCATAACCCTACAGTCCCAATACCCTACAATACCACAACCTCTACAGCTAATGGCCTCAGTTGTCGAAGCTAAAAAAAAAAAAACATATTTTATAAAATACTACTTCAAATTGTGCTTTGATCTGTGGTCAAGAGTATTGCGTTAATTTTAATTTGTATAGAAAATAGTTTTGTCACTATCTACATCCTCTATATTGTATCACAATTCACAAATGACAAATATTACTTTAAACAATTTTTCTATTTTATTGACATAGGTCAGTCCGAGATAATATATAAATATAATATAATTTAATAAATAATAATCTAAAACCGTAGACTACAGAGCGTGGTTATATGTCGATCTCAAAGATAATATTTAATATTATAGTATTATGAGTATTAAGTACTAAAGATTTTTATCATTCTTTTTTATTAATTTTATACTTATATACCAAAAAAATAAAAATAAATGTTAGTCTTCAAAAAATTACAAGAAAACTAAAAATAAGAGGCCTCTCCAAATTGGAGACCAGGTGACTAGTCGTCCAGCTACTCACCTGAATCAGACACTATTTACGTGATAATAATTTTTTATATTCAATTACCAAAAATTTTTTATAACATTGTCTAAAATTGGGTGTTTTATCGTCCAAACACACACTTTCTATAGTTATATAATACTTCTCAGGACTAACTCCAAAACAGTTTATAAAAAATCAGATATTATTCTTTAAAATTGTTGAAGTATACGTAATTTTTATAATCTCATAAGCTACTTAAATGTTTGGGTTGATATGACATTTTAAACCTTGAATCATTTATTTTAAATTTGTGAATTTATTAAGTTCCAAACACTGCTGATACACTAATGCCCTAAACTTAAAGGAAATTACTCTATCTAAAAAAATAATGGATCTACAGATACATTAATATCTATTACTTAAATAAGTGTAGACTTTTATAGATTGTTGATAATAAACATTGTTTCAAATTTATGTAAATTATCAATTAACACAATATTACAGGAAAATATATTTAACATTGCACATTGCGTTTATAGTGTTTTATACACATTTTATAAATCAAACTTAAATTTTTAAATATTAGCTTTTCAACTATGTCGTTAAAAAAATTCAATGCATTTTAACAGAATATTAATAATTACTTCTTACTTATTTATATACTTAAATAACAAAAAAAAAATGTGTCAGTGAATGCATCTAATAATTTTTGTTCAAAGATTTCCTACCAGATTTAAACCATTGACAATTGCTGTTCAATACATAGGGTAATATATATGGATTTGAAAGTATAGCAGATGCGTTAGGTCGAACTGTTGGATCACGATTTAATAACTCATGCAAAAGCCTTATCACATCATTGTCGTAAAAGTTCATTTTTTCAGAAATACTCAAAACTCCTTCTACAATGCTTGATATTGTATCTGCTAAACTCTAAATATTTTTGATTAAAGTTAGTTTAATCAACAAATATTTTAAGATAATAGAATAAATGATTATCCTTTTACTTACCTCTGCATGAAAAGGATGTTTTGTAGTAATCAAATAGTATAAAACACAACCAATTTGCCATATATCACTTTTTAATCTCAGAGGTTTCCCAAAACAATGCTCTGGAGACATGTAACATGGCGTACAACAATTTTCACCAACAATTTTGTCACTAACATATTAAAATCATAATATCTTTATATGCTTAAAGTAAGTAAGAATAAAATCATCAATTGTCTACCTGGTTAATATGTGGGAAGATCCAAAATCTCCAAGTTTTACTATTGTGCCTTGACTCCCTGTTAATAATATATTCATTGGATTAATATCACTATGTATAATCTTCATTTTGTGGATATAATCCACAGCCATGGTAAGTTGACTAAATATATTTAATACACACTAAAACAATTTCATTACATAAAATGTTAAAAAATAATTAAAAAGATATTATAATAATATTAATAATTACATTTTGAGGAATATAATTTGAAGTTAGTGAACATTTATTAACAAAGTTTTCTAAAGTTCCGTGTATGGCATACTCCATAATAATATGAAAACTTTGATTATTTTGAAAACTATTATAATATCTGATGATGTTTGGATGATTTAACATTTGAAGAATTTGAATTTCCTTGATAGCTTCCTGAGAAAAAAATTTGGATTCATTAAAATTTCAAACAACTTACTATAGGTTAGGTATTTACCTTTACATTCTCTGTTGACATGGATTTTATATGTATGGTTTTCATCACAGCTAATTTCTTTAAATTAAAGTCTCTAACCAGTTCAACAACTCTAAATATTTTAATATTTATAGATTAAACAGTAATATGTTATGTTATATTTATAGGAAAACTTACCCGAAAGCTCCACGTCCTAGTACGCCAACAATGTTATATGAATCCATGATAACAAAAAAAATAATCAACAATTTCTATTAAACTGTACAAAAATATCTTATATAATTGCAGTCACTATGGACCCGTTGCAAGCTTAAACACTATCTGTAAAAGTTAAAAAAATGATATAGAGTTATAAGATGGTAGGTATGATTTCATTACAGATCAGACTATCTTAGCATTCATTCTGGCATTGTCTTAAAAATTTATACTGAGATAATAAATATGCAACAATTAATATTGTATAAATATGAATCATAAATGTTTGAACATCATTACAGCAACACTTACCCTAGTTATCTAATTACCTAGTTTATAAAAAACGTACTTAATAGTAAATACTAATATAATAAGCAGTTTACACTCATGAAACATTAGTCAATAGGTGGCTGTGTAATATATAATTATGATCGGCTTACTTCAATTATTTGATGAAATTAATTTGAATAGCTGTATTGCCTGTATTAATTGTAAAATTGAATCAGACGCAGCAACAATAAGTAGGTACCTTATAATTGGTAAGAAGTAAAGAAAGGGGGAACAGCATAGACCCCGCAGACGGCAAAAGGCGGTCAACTTCTCGACTGGCTTTTTAATTTATTATTAATGTTTATTAAGGCAATCAGACGTCATAGTCAGTACTGGTCACTAGGTATTTTTATTTTTTACTATAATACACAAACAAAAATTACAATCGCAGATATCACATTACCGGTGCCTGCATTCAACGATGTATGGTTACAGTCTACAGACAAGTAGACAACTACAGTTGGACACTTAACTGTATAACGTCATTTATCATTTTTATGTAAAAACCAAAACTGCACTTATAAATAGAACAGTATCGTAACTAAATACCACTATCGTCTATCACACGTTCACACTATCCATCCAGATTAATTCAAAATAAAGGCAGTAAGCCAGTAAACGTATGTTCCGCTAGCGATATTTGATAAGACTGTGCAGGGTTCCCAAAAACGTCTAAAATACACAATATCAAACAATTCAGTCGTTGACCAATAGATGGCGCACAAAAACAGAATAACAAAAAATGAACGAAATACTGAACACTAAATTAAAAAAATTAATAATAAATACTTACAAGTCCGTCGCC